AGGCGAGCTTTGCAATCTCTAAGGGCGGACATAATCTAATTGGTAATTACCATACGAATTATATACAGTATTTTATTTACAACCGTGCGGTAGCAAAATATTTGATAGAAGTTTGGAAAAGTATAGAAAATAAAATTGCTTCTGGCACATTAATTTGACAGTGGACGGGTAGAATTTAGGTGATAGGTAGGTAATTGAAGGCATGCGGTAATAATATTACCACACGCTATTACAGCACGTCATGCGGTAATAAAATTACCACACGTCGTGCGGTTATATGGTACATACCGCACGCAAAATCGTGTGATATACCTTAGTTACCGCACGCTCGTAGATGAAACTTCTTTACCGCACTCTTTTAAAAATACGTTTGATAGTGTTCATATTCTTTATTAATGTACACTAAGTGCTGTAAAAATTCGTAGGAAAAATTTTGTTCCCAACATGTGCGCAAAGTGTCTTTTCCTCGTCCAAAAACTTATCCGAACTCCGCTTGACGTCGTTCGTATAAAGTCTGTTTTTTTTTTTAAAGATAAAAGTCAAAATGACATTATGTTGGCAATACAATGTAAAATTGTCAATGCTTTCAAATTTTCAAAGTAGAAAAGGCTTGTGTTGCCAACATAGTTGCTCACTAAATTTTTGACTTGGGGAATCTTCACAAAAAAAACAGACTTAAACTGTGTTTGCGTGCGGAAAAGTAACACTTTGCGCATTTGTTAGGAAAATAACTATCTCAGCATCAATAATGAGAATAACAATGATATTACTGATGCTCATCCATCAAATTAAAAAAAAAAACTCAATGGAGATAAATTCTGCGGAATCCATGAGGTAAATTTACTAGGTCACAGGAATAGATTTTTTTATTTAAAAAAAAAAACAAGCTTTACCCATTTATCGTTTCTTTAGGGCCGGCTTATTCACCTTCTGATAAACTGTCAGTTTATGTAATCTGACGGATAAAAACACAATTTGTCAAAAAATTACATTTTCACACTCATTTCTGTGCGAAATATCTCAAATTGGTTTTATTTACCTTAGCGACGTGCACGAAATACTTTGCGCACTAGAGCACGAAATACTTCGTGCACTCCAATGCCCGTATTAAATCTGTGTATTTTTCCGTGTATTTATTCATGTAGTTCACGGTGACAACCGAAAAACTTCAAACGCAACATAAATCAGCATTATGAAAAACAAAATAATGTTGGCACCATGAACTCCATGAATAAATACACGGAAAATACACACATGTAATACGGGCACAACAGTGGTTATAATACCTATTTTAGTAGTTCAATGTGCTTCAAAAAGACTCAAATTGGAGGAAATTGAACGACAAAGTGTGTAATAAAAATTAACTAGCGTATACCTGGGGTGCGCTACTACGCTAAAAAAAGAATTACCTACATTTTGTTATTTTTATTTTTTTCCATTTACTTTATTTGATATGATAAACGCGATAATCACAAATGATAAAACCAAATAAATCCTCCTACGCCTTTGGTTATCTTCTGATTTGAATATGGCTACCGTGCGCCAATGAACTTTAGGATAAATAATTTGGGGCGAAGCCAGCCGAGCGACGGAAAGTGGTCGGCAGCTAGCGGTGTTGCCAAATTGTGTGAAAGTATAACTCGTGAACTACAAATGGCGCTGCGATCGAATCTCAATTATGCGGGAGGTACCCAGGCCTCTTAATATTACCATTTCACCTAGATTTTTTTTATAGGAAGTCGTCAATTTTTACGTTCAGTAGATAAACGTAATCTTTTCCTATCAAAAATTTCTGAAGTTGTACCAAAGGTTTTACCCAGTTTATTTTCAAAACACAAAAGGCAATGCAAAAACTCTTCGACGGCACGGAATGGTCAAAACAATTATTGAGATAAGAATAAATATTATTTTATTCCCGGGATGTTGTCGAAGCGCCGGCCGGGGGTTGGCGGGGCAGTTCTCAGTGTTGCCATGCCATAGAATATGTAGTTGCGATTGCAGGAATTGATCCGAAATAATACATTTTCTGTTTTTTTATGTTTAACAAGAATGTACGTGTTTAACAAAAAAATTATATTGGTAAAAAATGTTAGTATTTTAACATAGAAATGTGAGAAGTATTTTATATTCCAATCTTTTTTTTTTTGAGAGGCGAGATAATTTTCAGAATTACTTTTTTCTATAAAAAAATACTTTTCATTCTTCTGTGATTCATCATCTATCATCCCACCAAATTTCATTGATTTTGATCCAATACTTTGGACGTAAATCAAAAAATAGTTTAACCCGTCGCACAGAGGTACCCAGGCCTCTTAAATACTCTTTCAAGGCATAAATAAATTATTTTTTTTACTACTAACCTGAGAAGTAGTCATTATTCAATCTATTTTTCTGGGAAAAAATTGAATTTCTCTCCCTAGGTTAATAATGAAAATAATGAAAAAATACCTAGGTCAATAATGAAAATGACGTCATGACGCAAGGATATTGCCCTAACGTTACAGGTTTCTATTTGTTTAATTTCAACTTCAAACTGTCATTTAAAAAAAAAACAGGTTCCTGTATGTATATCATAGGAATTTACTATAAGCTGTTGATAGAGGGCAGGCCTTTCGACAAGAAAAAATAATTTGAGCACAGATTTCAAACCTAGTTTTTATTTTCTACTAGCAGCTATATATTCCTCGGTAGAGAAAGTCATTATATACCTATAATGACCAACTTCTCTACCTAGGTATATAATGTACTATTATATCCTACTGAACTATTATAACCATATAATACCTTGGTAACGATAATCATAAACAGGGTTTTCCATAACTCCCGCGCGGGAGTTGAAGGTATCATAACTCCCAAAAGAGTTAAGGATTTCCATAACTCCCGCTTTTAACTTGAATAGGTAAAACTTTGACAAAAAATAGAAATTTTAATTTATGGTTTATTTCTTTATAAAAATGGATAAAATACCGTAAATTCAGTAGGAAATAAAATTATCTATGTACCCACGGGAATTATCAGGTGTTAATACCCTCATAATTCCCTTGATACATAAATAACTATAAAAAAATTTAAAAAAAATTGTAAAGTTCCCTACTTGACAGTTTACACATTTCACTTCTGCGCATACTTACTTTAAAAAATTCTATTTCCGAGGTGGAACTTTTGGAGTGAACTCCATTTACTCCATTCCGTATAGTCGAACGCTAACGGAGTGACCCTTAATACGCCAAAAAGCAATACCCGAACGGCTGGAGTGCGAATAGAGTCACTTGGAGTGCAGGGAGTGAGCAAACCGAACTCACCTGAAGGCCGTTTTACAGCTTGCAATTCTATCTGCAATATAGAAACTTGAACGAGGGCATGCGCAGAACTGATTGGTTTCTGCAAGATTCTTGAAACTTGAATGGCATTGCATGCAATCGGTTTGGTGCCATTTTTCTTGAAGGTTTTCGTGCAAGCTGGGGAATTTTTAGTATTTATGATGCTTAAAGTTGCTGCTATTGCTTTCTTTCTTTTATGTCTACTAATAATCACTTTTTTTATTTTTGGAAAATGCTAACATCAACAACACAACATTAAAAACAAAAAAGTATGGTTAAGGTTAGAGAAAGAAACAAGTCAAATTGCAAGGTGTAAAACGACGTGCAAGAAATCTTGAATGCAATTTTTTTGCATGCAAAATATTGCATTCAAGTTTTCTTGCAAGCTGTAAAACGGCCTTAAGGTAGCCTTTCCTCATAAGGCCTGTGTAGAACAAATCTGGAGTTCACTACCACGCCAAATCACCAGTTGTGACGTAGGCAGCATGTTGTTTCTTGCTTTGACGTAGGATGTTTGCACCACAGGTTATGATTCCGCGGGCTTTTGCTTTATGCATACTTGACTTTACTCTCGGCTTTACTCCATCAATTAACATTTTAAAACAACCATTTTTTAGATCTCGTTTGCATCTTTCTATATGCTTATTATGTTAATCAAAATTAAATAATATACCTATTTGATCATTAATTTAAATTCGAAACTACGACCGCTGACGCAAACAGCTGACGTTGCTGAAGACTTAGTTAATGACGTCGACAATGGTGATATACCAATGTTGAGGCGATTACCAAAAACAAGGCCGATAAGCGATACTTAGTAATGTGTATTATCCTTGTATGTCACCAACCTGACCAACCCAATCCATTTACAAATTATTGCAATACTTGCTCATCAACCCGAACGCAAACTATTGCTCTGTACTCTCACGTTCTGATGGTAAAATTTGGGGCAAGGAATTAGTGCAGAGAAAATGGAATCTATCTGTTTTTTAGCAGTCTGAGAGAAAGAGATGGAAATATACTCAGTTCGCAGTGTATCCACCAATTGGGAACATCATCGAAATGCCAGCTAGTGCAAGCAGTTCCGAACAGATTGGATTACATTTATGTTCGCACATTTCGGTGCAAACTTCATGGTTCTGTTTTCGATTTTCGAACAGGCTCCATTGGCACGGCACGACCTCTGCAATCGGTGCAAAAATCGTTGCTCTGATTTTCCAATAGACAACACATTATGCACTCTTAGTTTTAAGTTTTACCAATGGAATTGCATTCTAAAATCACGATTCGACACACGACTCGACAACGAGACCGGCCCTGTCGTCTAGAAAGGTATGATTCCAATGAGATTCCAACCTGGAATTGTCGGAAAAATCGTCTCGTTCGTTATCCAGTCGTGTGTCGAATCGTGATTTTAGAATCCCTGGGCAGTGCGCACTAGAGTTACAAAAGTTGTATTCCTTTCACACCTAGTAGGAGCTCCGGAACAGCTCCGGGGCTTCACGCGCTTATTCCTTTCGGAAAGTGTTTGTTGCACCTCGCATTTGTTCCCTGCAAATTGGGGGCTACTAAACACCGGAGCGAGTAGCTCGAGTGTTTCAAACTTTTGAAAGGAATACAACTAAATAGAAAACGCCATCAATATTTTCCAACCTGACTTGTTGTCTGTCAGAGTTCGAGCTGTCATGTCATTCCGGATAAGTTTTGTTGTGTTGTTGTTGTCCATCGTCCTAGATTTTTATGTGGCAAATTAATATTATCGTATTGTCCTGTGCTATTCTCTGTTTTGTTTAATGTTTAGTGTAGCAAATTGAAACTATATTCCCTGTTAATTGATTTAAAAAAAAAGTGTTTATAGATTTTCATAATTCATTAATAAAGACAATAATCAGCTGTAGTGAATTAATGCCGAAGCCGAAGGTTTCAAATTGAAATCACAAAAGACAATCATAGCATTATTATTTCAAGCAAGAAGAACATTTTTGGTTTCGGGACTTGTTCAAATTTGAAGCAAGTAAGTAAACAATAGTAGCATAAGCCTAGCTCGAGGGGTGAACACATTTGGCAAAAAGTGTACACCTACATCCCTTTTTTGAGTAAATCACGTAAGTATTCCCCCGGTTCTTAGAAATCCTAAGGAAATCCTACTACATCCCAATAAATCCTAGTATATCATAGTAATTCCTTGGTAAATCCTTGCATATCCTAGTAATTCCTTGATAAATTGCCTACATCCCAGTAAATCCTTTATTGTTATTATGATTATTATCACTTAATAATAATATTCCTGTACATAAATAAGGCATAAGTCGAGGGGTGAATAGCTCTTGCAGTCGGTGTACATATTTCTCACAATCTTCACACAATCATTCACAATCGTTCACAATTTGTCACAATCGTTACACAATCTCACACATTCTGTCAATCGTTACACAATCACACAAAATCTCTCACATTCGTGTCACAATCTCCCACAATCGTTGCACAATATCTCACAATCGTTACACAATCTCTCACAATCGCTCCACAATCTACCACCATCTGTAACATGTGAGGCCCCTCCAACTAGTTTAATTTACTTCATTTTCGCCCATAGCTATAAGCCAATAAGCCTGTTTGATGAACTAACTTTTGTATGCCACCTACAGCACACATTTCTGAACTCTAATTGCACTGGATAGAGGAATACCAATAAACCCAACCTCAAAAATGTTTGGTTGCCATTGAGGTAGTAGGTTGCTGAGCGAGAGAGTTAAAAACGAAGTTAAAAATATTTAAATTAAAAACCGAAAAGAAGTCACCTCAGATGGCTTAAGAATCCAGACCTAGATGTTGTAGAATAAAAAAGATACTTCAAAATAAATTGCACTTCATGGTTGGCCCTTTTTCTCTTCTACATGACATGACATTATGGAATTTGAAATCCGACGGGCCCACATCATCCACTTTATTTTTTTGAATACAGCTCTTGATTTTTTCTGTATGCAGTTCTTTGCTGGATGACTTCCTCAATGGAATGGTGTATCAAATAATCGATATAATGAACATTTCAGTCAAAAAAGTATGATAATTTGTATGGAGATACCTGTTATCTTCGTCAAACAAAAACAATTTACCCAATATTTGCTATAAAATAATGAGTTTGACAAAGATAAGTATCTCTATACAAATTATATATTTTTTTGATTGAAATGTTCATTTTTTGCCCCAAATTGACTGACCCTGTATCTCTTATGGATACCGAGATCCGCATACTTTCTCGCGAATTTGTAACACTCTGTATATGGTCCAATCCATTTTAAAAATTATCAATCATCCATTTACACTATCAAGGTTTGAGTCACAAAAAAATAACAATATTTTTTAGCAAATAAAAGCCTAATTTGAAAAAAGTATCTATCTCACAACAAATTCTTCAATAATTTGTCATCATTTTCCTGTTTTATTGTTATTGTCTGTCACGTCTGTCTGTGATGATTGTTTTAAATTCAAACACGCGGTATATACAGGGTGTCTCCGTTCAACTCATCAAAAATGCTAGGATTTATAGAGGAACCATAGAGAAGTAGTTTGAGATAGGACATCGATGGTCGAAATTGCGTCGTTCCGAAAATACATGGTGTTGAAATTTAAACAACCTGCTTTCATAATCTGAAGGGCTAATGCTAGTTCAAATTTCCAGGGATTATTGAAGTAGAAATGATATTCAAAAATTCGTATAGTGCACCTTCATTTTCTACCTGGAACAACCCCAAAAAAAATAAAAAATGTATTTTGAGAAAAATAGTTATTTATGCAACAAGTGTGTAAAGTGAACCTTTTTTCACGAATGGGAATTTTGACAATCACATGAGTGAAAAAAGGTGCCTTACACACGTATTGCATACAAATTTTTTTTAGTACCCATAAAATATTAGTAAAAAAATAAACTTAGACAAATACTTTAGGCGCTAGTGCGTGAAGTATTTTCACTTTACACACTAGTGCGTGAAGTAATTTACCAGAAAAATACCAAATTGACAGTTGCCGGCATCTGTCATTGACATTACTTTATGCACTAGTGTGTGGTCAATTTCTTTACGCACTAGTGCGTGAAGTGACATTTTAAGTCTCCTGAACAGTGTGTAAAGTAAGTACTTGAGGCACGGTAGTAGAAAAAAACAATTTGTTTCAATTTTTTTTTTGGGTGGTTCCAGGTAGAAATTGGGGTTGCATTAAAAGAATTTTTAAATATCCTTCCTATATCAATACAGCCTAGCATTAGCCCTCCAGATGATATGAAAGGGGGTTGTTTAAATTTCAACACCCTGTATTTTGGAAACGACGCACTTTCGACCATTGGTGTCCTGTCTCAAATTACTTTTCTATGGTTCCTCTATATAACCTAGCATTTTTGACACCCTGTAATTGAAAAATTTAGATTTTATAGGTGGCGCAGAGGAAACGCATGTTTCAAGTGTGATGAACAACTTTCAAGAGGGGTTGGAGATGTGTGACCCCAAAGCAGGACGACACTTTTTGACTGAAATTATTTTTCATTATTAATTGACTCGTTTATTGAGAAAAACACGATTATTACTTCATTTAGCTGTTCCTAATCGAGTACCTAATTGAAACAAAATTATCTTGGAAATAAAAAAATTTAACTACGTGAAAAACATGCTTTTCCTCTGCGCCACCCTGTACAACTGCTCAATCAGAGTACTGTGTATAAGAAAGATAAAAAAACTCAATATTCTTTTTATTTATTAATTTAGTTTTGATATTTTGTTATTTTATTCTAACTCAATTATTATACCAGAGTCCTCATTCTTGAAACAGGGGAGCAACGTTCCCAAGAGAACGAGTGCTTCGTCTTTCTCAATGATATGTAAATGATAATATACGTAACAAAGACGGAACACTCGTTCTCCCGGGAATGCTGCTCCCCTGTTTCAAGAATAAAGACCCAGAGCTGTTTTCTCGCGGTCACTTTTTTAAAACTGTATCAAAACAGGTTTGAAACAGTATATTCTCGCGATGAACCCATGACGTCACATCAAAATTGGTCAAACCGTTTCGAAATACAATACAATCCACATTTTAAAACCATTTTCTCGCGCCGAGAAGTTATGACATCATGTGACATTGTTTTAAACCATTTTTAAAAACTTTTTAAAACATTAGACATGTGAAAAAACACCTATTGTCTTAACACAATCATTCACAATTCTTACACAATCAGTCACAATCGTGACACAATCAGTCACAATCGTGACACAATCAGTCACAATCGCTCACAATCAGTCAGAATCGCTCACAATCAGTCACAATCCTTATACAATCATTCACAATCACTCACAATCGTACACAATCGCTCACAATCTTAGAAAATTTCCTTAGAGATTGTGGAATTTGGCAGTCGGTGTACACAATTTGGGTCAGCTATTCACCCCTCGGCATAGGTATTTCGTTAAAAACATTATAGTTATTAAGACACCAAGGGCAATATGAGCCAAATAAGTCCCCGAGGTTCGATAGAGTCCAAGCCAAGGGCATTTGGCCCGAGGGGTGTACATCGACCCTTTAGTTCATATTGCCCGTGGTGACGTTTTATGTATTACTATTTCTCTTATTTCGTACCTATCTAAATTTAAATTATTTGAATTTTACCTGTGACATTTTTTAGTTGAAATTTTGCCATTTTTTCATGTTTCTCCCAAAATAAAGGTAAAATTCCTGGAAGCAATTTGACCAGTGTGAAACCGGTACAAAACTGGCTTTTTAATTGTTTATAATGCTCTAGGGCGTTATGAAACAATAACATCCCCAGGTTAATTTTATCTGTAAAAACCCTGAAATTAGGTGGATTATTGTCAAATAATAAACTGGAATGACATAAATTCTCTATTGGTGTGAAGTCTTGTATGTTATTTTATTTACATTTCTACATAATACAGGGTGTCCCACGGTGGATGGCATATTAGACGTTTATGAAGAACTAAAAAACAGATCATTTAAAAAATTTGTCAACCGGGATAAACGACCGTAATCTACACTTTAAAAATATTTTTGTTTATGCAGTGTTGCCACTTCTACTCTAAACCAGTGGCAACATTGCTATTTTAAATGGAACACCCTGTATGTGATTGCATATTTGAATTCTACGTAAAATTCTGAGCAGATTTCATCATGTGATATACCCGAGGATATACCCTATTTTATCCATGGATTAAATTCACAGTTGGTGGAAAAAGGAATGTGAAATCGGTTTTCCTCTAAAATTAACCGTTTAGTTTTTATAGCCTGTCAAAGTCGCAAAAAGTCAATTTTCAACTGTCAATATTTTTGGAACAGTTTAGTTATTTATTTATTTATTTATTCAATATACGGGTTCACCCCTCTTAGTAGAGTGGAAGGATTAAAATATTCGCTTTAAAAATCGATTTACCTCCCACTTTTTTGTCACAACCTGAATTTTTTAGGGATGAAAGTACTTGACAAGGTAACTCTTATTCCGGAGGTAATACAAAATTGGACTGTGCAAAAGGGCACTATCATCAAAAATCGAGATATTGATACCACCGTATAGAGAAAAAAATACTTTATTATTGGTCCAATACACAATAAGGTCTTTGTAGGTAGTATTTTTTTATAATCATTCAAAAAAAATAATTACCATTAGCTCTTATGGCCGAAAAAAACTTTAAATGTAAATATCTCGGTTTCAAGCGTGCAAATATTTGGTTAAAAATCATCTTTTTTAAATATACCTTCCATTTAACGGAAAACGAACGCTTAAATAGAAAAAAAATATTCTTTATAAAAGTTTCGCTTGTGTATTGTCTAGGTAACGGTTCAAACCACATATTTTTTGCTTCTAAATTAACAAAGATATAACAATAAGAGATTTCAAGGGTTTATGGGAGAGCAACATCGGACCGCCGAGTTTCTCGACTCACTATGCATCTCTCTCAGTGTTGATACGTATGGGATCTCTTTCACTCTCTTACATTATTTCCTATAGGGATTATT